CTGCACTCTTGGCTAAGGCTACAATCCACGTTTATCTACAAAGCACTTTGTAAATCCCCTTGACAGTTAGGGTTACTACAGACCACTTCCTCGATAGAGGGGTGTTGACTGGGAATGGTCACCCAGGCAGGCCAAGACTTCCAGCTTGAATGGCCTTCTGATGTCTGAAGCCCAATGTGACCCTCCAGTTTCTCAATGGCACAGCTGCAGGTGGTAGCTGTCTATAATCCCAGCACTTTAAAGACAGGAATTGGGAGGGTCAGAAATCCAAGATCGCCCTTGGCAGCAAAGCAAGTCTGAAGCTGGTATGGGCTACTTGAGACCAATCTCAAAATAAGTAAGTCTACCTACCCTACGCTGAAGGGAGTCCTGCCATTGCCCACTCATTCATGCATGTTTTCCAAGCAGGTTCATAAACAAACTCACTACTGCTTTGCATCTAATTCTTTGTTTTGTTTTGTTTTTCAAGGCAGGGCTTTTCTATGTGGCTTTGGGGGCTGTCCTGGAACTCACTTTGTAGACCAGGCTGGCCTGGAACTCACAGAGATCACCTGTCCTCTCATTTACTTCTACAGTTAAATTATCCTTTGCCCCCAAGCCAGACACACCCTAGCCCTTCACAGAAGGCCACAGGCCTTTGGCTACCTGCCCTGGACAAGCAGGCTCACTTATCCAAAGCTTTTCCTACCATGAGGTAACAGGCTGAGAGCCCAGAATTCTCAAAGCTGGTCCTGGATCAGGTCAGCAACTTGCACTGTTTCCTCTTCCTCCACCTGGAATGCCCGCCCGCCTGCCGTCACTGGCCACTCCTCCTCACTTAACTCCCCAGGGATGTGACTGCACAGGCACTAGCAGCTTCTGAGAGGGCAAGGCAGGGCCCAAAGTGGCTTTCACACCTCTCCCTGAGAGCACAACAGGCTTCCAATTTGTTCATCCTCCCCAGCTCAAACATGCTGCAGACTCTGTCACTGTAAGAACACTGGGCTTGGGCCTGAGGTGCCCCCTGACATCAGCCATTTGCTAATGTCCCTTAGCCCACTGCATAGCTCAGTGGCCAGCCAGTCTTTCGGAAAGCTCCTGCCTGGAGCCTGGCTCTGTCAAGGCCACAGCTCTGGATTCTGGAAACACTGTTCAGAGGTAACCTGGGCTTGCTGACTGTTGAGGAAATCAGTCACAAAGCAGGGGGAAGTGGCCATACTCCCTCCCAGGCTCTGGCTCTCGACTCCTGGGTGGTCTGCATCTTTTCTTTCCACTAAAATCTCAGAGATTAAAGTTTATCGTGGCAGGAACCGAGTGTCCACACTGGTATGAGGAATACCACAGCGGAGGAGGCAGAAGCCCATGAGTGGGCAGGAGAAACGGTCAGCAAAGAGCCTGGGCTCTGCCCTGACAGGCTGGGGATCCTGAACCAGTGACCCCTGAGCACAGCCCCTCAGCCTCACCTCCGGAAGCTGCTGGACTCGGACAGTGCCCCTCCCAGCAGCTTCCCCTTTATCCCGGGGCTGGTTAGTTGGTCAGAAAGGACAGCTAGCTTTTGTTTTTGACAACATGTACCATCATTCCAACCCAGGACATGGGTCCTTCATCATATGGCCTTCTTCTACCACAGACCTCACTCCGCATGGGACATGTGGAGTGCTAACACCCGAGTGCTAACTCAGATGTTCTACAGGCAAAGACCATGCTATTTTTAAACAGAACGTTCACTGCAGCCCTCTGGCTGGTACTCACACCTGGGCCGCACTCTGCAGCCCTCTGACTGGCACCTGAGCCCCACTCTGTGCTGCTAGGTGGCTGTCTGCCAGTCAGGAGCTTCCAAGGCTCTCTGAAGCCAGCTGTGGTCTGGGATGACGTTTTTAAAGTAAAACGAGCCTTAAAATGCATTTCCAAAATCTGCTCCCTTTGCCTAGTATCCCCTTGCCCGTGTGGGACTCACTGCCCTAAGACGAGGAGAAACAAGGCTGGTGTAGAGCTCAAAGGCAGCTGTTGGCTTCCACCTCAGAAACCCCAGACCTGCATGGAGACCAGCTCACAGAGGCTAGCAGGGTCCGTGGGAGCCCTGCAAACAGAGCGGAGCCCAGGACGCGGTAACAAAGTCTGAGGATAAAATAGAGAAGAAAAATGTCAGACCCCCAGAAGAGGCTTACAGAATCATATGAGCAAATGGCCTACCCTGCTCCAGACAACTGTCATAGTCAGCAGCTCAAAACGTATCAACGGGCCTACTGTGTGCAAGGCAGTATTATGGCTGAGGGCCAGAAGGGAAGAAGCCGTGTTTGGATGGCAAAGACCCAGGCTCTTCTCCAGTCCCAAGCCGGGTCCCGTGGTGTGGCTTGGTGGCTGGGCCAGTCTGAGACAGTACTTCAGTCACTCCGAGCCCACACACAGGGCAGCTGTGGGTCAAAGGCCTCTGATGTCCAGTTTCTGTGTACAGAGGTGGTGACCACTGCTTGGATTCACGGTTCCTGAGCATGTACCCTAAGGCCCAACCACAGAAATGCTCCTCCCCTGAGACTCACACATGGACAGCAAAGCAATTCATTCTAAGTGGTTTTCTAAGAGTCCAGATGAGCCAGAGTTATAGCTCAGTGGTGAGTGCTTCCCCAGCATGACTAAGGGACTGGGCTCCATCCCCAGTCTCTCAAAAGTCCTGAGGGAAGAAACCAGAAGGAGTCTTAGGAGTTCAGGTCTTGAAGCTGTTTTTTATGTACCATGACAAGCTCAATATAGAAAAGCTGAAATTCACTAGAAAAAGTGTGGATTTGAGATTCACTAAGGCAGCGAGTCAGTCACCTGGGGAACACTTTGGACATGAACTAGCATAGGTCAGGGTACAAACAGACAAACTGCTCTTTGAACTCTCCAAAAGGCTAAGGGGCCAGGGCCTACAATCAGGAGCAACAAGGCTCCTCAGAGTTTCTTACAGAGCCAGGAAAGAACCCACAGAAAGTCCAAATTGACTGACGGCTCACATCCCAGGAGCATTTTGTAAAGCAATGTATGGAGAGAGTCCCACTGGCCAACCGGCTTCAGAAAGTCAATCCACAGGAAGACAAGATCAGCGAGGGCTGGCCCCACATGGCCTTAGGTGAGTGTGGGCAGGTGAAAGTCCTCTTCAGGGACCATAAAAGAAACACACCTCAAAGGTCTCCGCTGCCTCCCTGACCTTTCTCAAATCACCGTAACTTTCCTCCCACCCCTCTATTAAGAACTAGCTTGCCTATCAGGTTGCAAACTCAGGCTATTTGGAAGCAGTTTGGTAAAGGACCACTGCCAGGCAAAGATACACAACTTTGACACTAGCACATGCTGAGGTGTGTTTGGACAGAAGAGACCGTAGCTGGGTGGTGGTGGCACACGCCTTTAATCCCAGCATTCAGGAGGTAGAGGTAGCTGGATCTGAGTTTGAGGCCAGCCTGGTCTACAGAGGGCAGCCAGGGCTGTTACATAGAGAAACACTGTCTAGAAAAACCAAAGTAAGTAAATAAGGTAGCCTACAGGTTTCCAGGGCTAGGATTAGCAAGTGATTTCGGGGTGTCCTTTGACTCAAATGCTGTGTGCTCCACACCTTCCGAATGAGTTCCTGGAGCAAGAGTGGAGGGTCATCCCATTTCCAGCTGCTATCAGCACATCTGCCCTGCAGGAGACACACTGGCTTAGTTTATTACCATGCCTGTCATAACCTCTGCTGGGCCTAGGCTCAGAGTCCGGAAGCTCTAAGAGTTGGGTGTGATGTCAAGTGGTCACACAGTTGTGCCGCCTAGTGCTGCCTGTCCACTCATTCCAGGAGATGCATGCTCCGACAAGAAATGCCAGAACAGAACTGTCACTTGTACCCAGCATCACTAATTCACCGGTGCAATCAGGGGGCTGCCTCCACAGACCCCAACCCTGCAGCAACATGGGTCTGATTAGGCGTGTGGGATGCCAGCAAACTTCCGGGCAAGCCCAGCTGGTTCTCTTCTCATTCATTAAGCAAGGAAGTTTTCCAACAACAGGCCACCTTCTTTTTCAGACCAGAGGAAGTTGAGCTCGCACTGGAGCATCACTGGAGAGCATTGGGAGCAGAAAGGGTCTCCCTGCCTACCTCGATGCCCACAGACGGTTGGCAAGGGCCTATCCCTTAAAGGAAACAGAGGCTCTGGTTCCCTAAGTTATTGCTAGGGAACTAAGAGAGTCAATGCTATAATTTCTTAGGGGGCTTTATTAGCTAGGGAGGAAGGACTCATGCCACAGGCCTGCGTAGCCCCGCCCATGGCGTCTATCACCATCTACCCCACACCCCATACAGAACCAAGCCAATGGCCCTAACATACGGCAATGAACTCCAGCTATTTCTCCACTAAGCAGGTTTCACATTTCTGTCAACATGTCACAAACCCGCAGATAACTCACACAAACAAACACAAGCAAGCTTATGACTCTCGCCAGTTTTTCTCGGAATGGAAGTCTCAGGCCATATTTCCTCTCTGTCCCCCCCCCCAATCCCCTAGGACTGGACCAAGGAAATGCCAGAAAAACTTTCCACTTCTTAGAAAAACAAAAGGAAAACACGATTTCCCGGGCTCCACAAACTTTCCAAAGGGGTTCCCACGTGTCTGCTACTAGTTGGGGCTCCGGAGCGCCGCCCTGCCCCGGCCCCACCCACTGCACCCGGCAGCGCTCGCCCGGAGCTGGGGACGCGCCTCCGGGTCTGGACTGGTTTTCAGGAAGCTGGTCATCTCGCACCGGGAGGTTTAAGAACAGCTTTTTAACCGCCTCTTCCAACTCCCTGACCAAAGCAGAGGCATAGTGCGACCGCTCTGCTAGTGCCGGGTTCATGCACACGTGTGACCACATACTCCCTGGGCCTCTTCCCCTTTTCACATACTCTAGTGGTTTGGGATCCCGGCCAGGAGCCCGGGAACTAGCTAGGCGAGGAAAGGTGGGAGCGACCCCAGTGGGGTTCCTGTCGTAGGGACACTGCAAAGCTGGGAGCGCGTGGCCTCCAGAATACTCACCGGGACCTCTGCAGCTGCTCCAAGGCGCTAGTGCTGCCGCCCTGGCCTGGCTGCTCCAAGGCGCAGTAGTTCTGCGAGTTCTGCCTAGAGAAGGCGATGGGCAGGATTCCCTGAGTGAACGAGTTGAGGCGGCCCCGACTGCCGCTCGCACTCCCGGGGGTCCCGGAGCCCAAGAAGCTGGCCAGTGGCACCTGCACGTTAGTGAAGGCATCGTCCTCCTCCAGGTCCTCCTGTCCGGAATCCCCCGGTCCGTCGGGCAGCTGCAGTTGAGCACTGGTGACGGCTGGGGCTGAACGGGGAGGCAGCGACTCCCCCGACGCCCGGGGGACCAGGGACGGTGGCAGCGAGCAAGGACTGGAGCCGGAACCGGCGGTCCACGGCGCGGCCGCGGTGCCGGCTGCAGAGAACGCGTTGCAGTTGGTGGCCAGCAGGCTGAGCCGAGCCCTCGCTCCCGGTTTGGTCGCGCCGCCCTCCTCGCCGCCGCCCCACTCGTCGTCCTGCAGTGGCGGCCGGCCGTCCAGCGAAATGTTGGTGAGGAAGGACAGGGCAGCCTGGCGGCGCCGCGGATCCACGCGCGGCTTGCGGAGAGGCTCGTTGTGAGCGGTGGCCGGAGGTGGCGGCTGCACCCCGCTAGTGGCCGCCGGGTCCGTGCCGCCACGGCGGCTGCTGCTGCTGCTGCTGCTGTTGCTGCTGCTGCAGGCGGCCGTGCCCGCGGTGGCGGTCGCCGCCGCCATTGTGTCCGTCTGCGGCGTCAGTTCCGCGGTGCCGGAGAAGCGAGTGGAGGGCGCCTAGCGCTAAGCGGCGGCCGCGAGCCTCGGCGACCGGGGCTGGGCAGGGCGCGGGGCGCGGGCGGTGTGCGAGGCGGCGGCCCTGCCCTCCCGCGGGCGGGCCATGCTCGGCCCTGGGCGCTCGGACGCCGCCGGGACTCACGCGCGCCTGATTCGCCCTCCGCGCCCGGGACCCACGCGCGCCTGGCCGGCCCTGCGCGCCGCGCGATCGCGGACTCCCGGGCCCGGCCGTCCGTATTTATAGGTGCGCGCGCCCCGCGCTCGCGCTCCGAAGCGCTCTTTGCAATAACACAGTATCACGTGTAGGGAATGAGACCTGGGAGGAAAACAAAGCCACAGGCGGAGTCCGCAGCAGCGGGAGGCGACCGTGCTGGAGGAGGTGGAAGAGACGGAGGAAGGCAGGGCCCGGCGCGTGGCAGGGCGGGGGCTCACCCGCCTGGTCCCCCACGGTCCCAGCTGTTCCTGGGGCACGCGGAAGCCAGGTGCTGGAGGCGAGCACGTCATCCCGGTACGCCCGGGCGGAGAATCACGGGTGTCCACAGAGCCCGGTGAGCCACACACAGCCCAGGCTTGTGCTCCCAAAGAGTTACGGGGCGATCACCTGGAGCCTTTGCACGGCGACCTAGTAACCGAATCCAGGGGCCTGAACAGACCGATCCTTGTTAACATGCTACGTGGACATTCCCACCGAAAGTGTCTCTAACCACTGGGATGTGCCCCCCACTCTTTTGCAGACCCAGGGAACGGCTGCCAAGATTAAGGACAAAGGCACCTAGCTGCCTGGGTTTGTGAGCACCTTCTAAGTGACCAGCTGATTTACATACACACCCCTGGCGCTCTTAGCAAAAGATCGCCAGGATTTTCCTTTGGTCCCTGAAAATGTATTGTATTTTCTATGAAGATCTGAGCGGGCCAAAATAATCTTGCATTTACAGTTCTGTCGTCACCTTGCAAACATCTGCGAGTGTAATCTCTTACTCCTCTATAAACGAGGACAGATGTGGATAGTTATTACCATTTATTTCATAAACATCTGTTCGACTCCTGGCTTTATGTTCCAGAAACATGGGTTCGTGCCTAAGGACACAGCGACTCTGGCGCCACCCCCAACAAGTGGTTTGGGGACTTGAACTGCGACATTACCCAAGACCTCCACCCAGTTCTCTATGTTTGGGTGACTTAGTAAACAGTATGGAACAACTGTGGTCCTGAATTAGGCTCTGTGACACCTAAGAAGCCTTGCTACGCTTTCTCTGCGGGAGAAGCAAAGTGTTTAAGATGAACGGATTAATTTAATTAGAGGTTTAAATTTAGCTTTGGAGCTAATGGGTAACTCTACGTTGAAATTCCACTCCATTTCAGCAGAGTAAATTAAGTAGCAGAGAGCAAACATACACGGCTCAGAGATGTGCAGCCAACCCGGAGTCAGAGATAGGTGGATTTGGGTTACATGTACTGGGGACAAACAGGCCACGTGGCTGTTTGCATGAACACTTGTTCATATGTAATCCTGGGCCGTATTTAGGCCTTATGAAAAAGCAGAGGTGCTGTCTGCTGCCGGTTCACAACAGTTAAAGTCTAGAGACCAAGTCTGGATTTCATCAGGTTTTTAATTACTTCAACTACCTTGACACTTCAAGTCACTTGATTACAATCGACTTAATTTACATGCTCGCTGGCCTAGCTTTTCTTGAAAGTAATGTTAAGTGAGACTCCAATTCTGCCCGGTAAAAGAAAAAAAATACTATTTTATAACATAAAGTGGTAAGTTTTAAACAAACAGGAGAGGGGAAACACAATCTCATTGGGTATGGAAATATTTTAATATTTTTATTATTTTGTTTTGAGTATTTTTATCTTATTGAGACAGTTTTTTATTGCGTCTTGAGCATATTTTGGAACAAGAGGGAAAGCAGGCTGCCGTGCCAGGATCGTGCCTGCGTGGTTCTCCTCTTCCCATTTGGAATACCCTTACTGTAGTGGCTGTGGTGCTCAGCTTGATGGAGCACCTATACGTTGTTAGACTCCTGTATTTGTAAGATTGTTGGCCCCATTTCTGCCATCAAGAAAGCAGCAGTGACAATCTTCCAGTCTTTGTACTGTGAAGGGCATGCATCTACATCTGTATTATTTATTTGTGGCCTTTGGGAGCAGCACTGGGACTCAGGGTTGCACCCATCCTAGGCAAGTGCCCACCACTAAGCTTCATCCCCAGATCTCTTTTCTTGTTTCTAGATTTTGAGACAGGGTCTCTGGAGTCTAGGGTGACCCTGAATTCACTTTGTAGTATAGGCAGGCCTTGAACTTATGAACCTCCTGCCTCAGTTCCCACACAGCTAGACTTATAGGCCTGTCACACAGTATTCCAGACTACCCTACAATATTAACATTTTTTTTTTCAGTTTAAACAGTTTCTGGCATTCCTTGTTTTAAGGCCTTCTGTCTAGGGAAGACCTAATCTGCCTCCTGGAAGTCTTGCTGGGCACTCACTCGTACCATTTCAGCAAATACATCTATTTGACTATTTGATATAACTCTGCTTATTTTACATTTCAAGTAGGCAAATTGATTTCAGATGTTTATCAGATCATCAAATAGCAATCAATCAATGTCTACTTAGTCTCCATGCCCCTGTGATTCCCTAGTGGGGGGTCCTGAGAGATGATGTATTGTTCCCCGGCTGTGTGTCAGCCACAGTGTGCTGGGCCACCCGGAGGTAGTGGTAAAGGGGAATTGCCACTGATATGTTAAAGGCAAGGCACAAAAAAAAACTGAATAAAGCTCTTTCTCTAGAGGTGGCTGGGCCAGCACCCAGACCCATGCGTGTTTCTGCTCCCTCTACTGGTAAGGCTATTTTATAGGCAGAGTCAGTCTCCATGTTTCATCCCACATTCATCCTCCAAGTCAACTAGAGTAGAAATACAAACTGTGGAGTAAGAGATCTGGATTCCTAGAGTTGGTCACTTAACCTGTCTCAACTCATTTCCTCTATAGGTTGCTCTGGTTTTCAGAGGAACCTACACAAGAAATACCAAATAATCGCTGATGCACTTTTAAAATGCCAGACATCATTAACACCACCCAAAACCAATTAGGTCCTGAATTATTCCAAATTCATTAATCTTTACTATTAGTTGTTGGGTCACTTATTCTATGTGTAGAGTGCCAGTGTAGGACAAAGCAATAAAAGAATCGTGGTTTGTATCCACTTGTACCCTTGATAGTTAAAACAGTGGAAAACTAAAGCTTGGGGGGTACGTTTAAAGAGAAATTCTAAGCAGCTGATGGTCAGGTAAGCAGTGGGTTGTTGGAATGGGAAAGGGAACTTCTGAGAGGCGCATTTCGAGACAGGGTTTCTCTGTGTAGCTCTGGTTGTCCTGGAACTCACTCAGAACACCAGGCTGGCCTGGAACTCACTGAGATGTACCTGCCTTTGTCTCCTGAGTGCTGGGATTAAAGGCATGTGCCACCACCACCCAGACTTGAAAGGGGAGCTTTTATTTTGAAGTGAGACCTGTTTGGGGAGGCATTAAGCAAGACCAGAACTTGAGCTGACCTATGAAGTTGTTGCTATGAGCTAGACCCCACAGGTCCATGTGATAAAGGGGTGGTCCTCAAGGAGGCACGGTTTGGAACTGGATTGAGAGGAAGTGAGGTCATTGAGTGCATGCTCCTGAAAGACTATGAGATTCTTTCACCTCCATTTAGCATCCTCATACCCCACCACAATATGCTGCTGCTTTATTGGTCCAAAGGCTTTGGAACCAATCATTTATGACAGAAAACTTCAAAATGAAAAGCTAAAATAAACCTTTCTCTTTAAAATGTATTAGTGTGTGTGTGTGTGTGTGTGTGTAAACCAGATGACAATACTAGGGAGTTGTTTTTTGCCTACCATTTGGTCTTAGGCATTAAATTCAAATGATCAGGTTTGGCACCTGGAGCCTTTATCTGCTGAGCTACCTCTCTCAAACATTTTCTCTATAAGTTGATTAGTTAAGTATTTGTTAGAGAAATAGGTCACCAACTATACAACTTTGTACATAAATTCCTTATGCACTGTAGACACACAGGACTAGAAAGTGAAATGGATTTTCCTCTCAACTCACCCCATTTTCCCCTTTTAGATTTCCAGTCTGGAAGTTTCCTTTGTCTCCATGGACCCAAAATATATGCACTGTTTAGAGCAACAAATTCAGTACCTGGCCTTTTACAAAAAAACAAATACAAATACAAAACTTGCAGACCCTCAAAAATAGTACAATGAACCAGTAAGTCTGAAAATTGGCTTAGCATCACTCAGAAGTTGACACAGGAGAAATAAGTCTAGACTCAGAAATACCAGCCTCAGGTGCTGGCTCAGACACTTCCAAGCAGTATCCAGCTTGGATAAGTTCCCAGCTATGTGTCTTGGTGTTCTGGTGTGTCAAGGTGGGGTTGGCGGCATTTCACCTTGCAGGCTTGGGAGCATTGCTAGTGATCCGAGTTATGTAACCAGCACCATCCTGTCTGGTGCTCACAGATGGCTATTTTTAGAAAGATGCAAACTATAGAAGCCTCACAGAAAGGCCAGGATGCTTTGGTTCCTAGTTGTTTGTGATTTTCCTGGTATAAGCAGCACCGGAAGAAATCCTAGCCATGCACTTTTACATATGTTTCACCAAAGTGGAGGCTGTCCCCCACTGCTGGGGCACCCATCAGACTAGCGGATCTAAAACAGAGGCCTGGTGTCCTGAGAAGCCTGCTTCCCTGTGCCCAGTGAAGTGCCCTAAGACAAGAGAGGGGAACTAGGCCCAAGGCCCCACACTTGGAGAAGTTGACTTGCTTGATTATGTGTCACGTCTGTTGGCTTGAGGGAATGGGGATGGAGAGAGAAGATGGGCCATGTCCACTGCTTCCTCCTTGACAACCTGTCATGAATACCTTCACTTCAGTCCTACTTCAGTCCTTGGTTTTCCCTGGAACTTTCGGGATGAGATACATGTGAATAAAATCGGAGGCTGGGGGATATTAAGAGAAAAAATAAGTCACTAAAGCTGGACTGTGGTGGCGCATGCCTTTAGTACCAGCACTCGGGAGGCA